ATATCCAGCACGGTCTCATCCCTGTCATCTCACTTCATCATTGCTAAAGCAGAAGCATATTCTTGTGGCCTAAGTCGTACCAATTTTCGCCACATCACAGATGTATATGGCACCAACTCTGTATTCCTAGTGTTTACGTCATCTGAAAAGACAATCTCTGCCACTGCCATTTCTTGCAGGTGTTGGATCCCTTGTTCGATGGTTTTCCACTGTATGCTGCATGTAGAGATCATCTACGCACAGATATTTTGTGCTACACTTCCCAGGACCCGTGCCCAGAGACTGTGAGGGTTAGACCCCCTCATCATCCCCTGGTCGATAACCGGATCATGTGACAGGGATCCCAAATGTCTTGCTTCAGTGCCATCCAGAACTGTGGCCTTGCCTGCAGCATCCCAAAGATGGACTAACTAACTGATGATAGATTCATCAAATTGTCAAGTGTAGTCCTTCTTTAGGCCACAAAGGTCTTTCAGGGAAAAGGACTCAATATTAGCCTCTGATTTTGTGCCAGTTGCTTTGACTCTTGATTTTATGTCAGGAGGTGTTGGGGGTCCTTCTCCCACATCGTCGTCGTCATCATCATCATCATCATCATCATCATCATCATCATCATCATCATCCACTGGCCAATTGGTCTTGTCTGTGCACTTTCTGTTTCTCATGCTAGTAGCAACAGCCATTGGTTGAGGCTTGCTGTCTGGTTTAGTTACCAGTTTCATAACTGGGGTATTGGCTGCAGCTTGAGCGACTGGGGTAGCTGTTGATTTATTTCCCTGTCTCTTTTCCCCTGTTTGCTGCCCTACAGTATCTAGTGTACGATAAGCATATGCCAGAGCCCAGCTTACTGCAATGACATTTTTTAATTTGAAGTCATCATGACACTTCTCTTTCAGGTATTAACCCATCTCAGCTGGGTTCTTGTTGGAGTCTGGAATATATTATATTATATGAAATTCAGTGTTTTTCTAGATCTTATAACTAAGTATCAGAAACAAGGGCACACACTCTGTATTCCAGACTCCAACAGGTTCTGAATTTGTTCACGTGGAAAGTCCCAAACTATAGGGTCAGAAAATGCATTCAGAATTTGGCCCATATTCTCCCATTTTCCACACTATTCGGGATTTTCCATGCCTGGGTCAGGGGTGTCATCAGTCTTTCTAGAAATCTCAGCCCTCATTCTAGGGAAGCTGCAGACCATATAGAGGAAACTTGCCAGATTAAATGCCAGAAAGATGGTCTCTTTAACATTCAGGGGGAAATGAACATTCTCCAGTAGTGATGTAACAGATTCAGAGGAGAAGAAGGAAAGGAAAGGCTGAAAAGCCTCATCCTCTGTTCCTCCTCTAACAAACTGGATGCATAACCATAACCATGAACCATCCATACCTGGAACAGACTCCAGCACCTTAATAAACTTCCTACAAATCATTATCACTAGGCCAAGCCAAATAGCTATTCTAATCCGTGCCCCTCTATTGTAACAGCTACATGCTAGGGACAATACTGGAGCTATTTCTGGATAAGAGAATAAACTGAGGGACCATAAAGGTATTAAAACGTCAAAAAAGCCTAGAGACAGAAACACATGAAGGTCTCCACCTCAAAAGACATTATTTATTCAAACAGCATGGCTACAGACTGCTTTATCTTCTCCCAATACAGAGTAATTGCCACCTAAATACAATCAGTACAGGGTTTTCCACTCTCATGTGCCTCATGTTGGGTGCCAATAAATTTTAATATTTGTCCTGGTTTAGGGCAAAACTGGGAGAAAATCTCTAAAGGGGCCCCCTCTAGGAAGCAAACTCACATGGCCCCTCCCACCCCCAACCAGTTCGGGAAGAGATTTCTCTGAGAAAAAAAACTGTTTATTTAAGAGGCAAAGCACTATCCAGCACAAAAATGAACAATACCAAATTACAAAATCTCTTGCTGCTTGGAAGAGATGACAAATTCAGAGGGTCTGCCTCCTGTGGGTGTTCACTCTGTTATCAATCCCTCTGGCACTGGAAAATGCTACTGCCCAGCTTAAGCCCCCTGTAGTCCACAGGTGCAAGCTTCTGGTGCTCCCCTGAGTCCCCAGACACCCCCTTCAGAGTAGGCTTGAACCGTTCCAAGAAAAGGGAAAGAAAACAGTCTAGGAAGACCTCTCTGCTTCTGCTAGCTGCAAAGCAAAGGCAATCTCTCCATTGTTGTCTGTTATGTAGTCAAAACCCCATTCTGGAATGCAGGGGGAGCAAGTACAGTCTCTGATAACAGACTTGGTGATTCTTCTCTACTCACTTTTACTCTTCATCTTAAAGATGAAGTTTTAAAGATAACAAGCTTATTTCTGGGCTAGGCAGATGAATGGGGACACAATTTAACATCACAGTCACCCCAGGACATCGGAACAGTTAAAAAAGCCTTGGGCTCAGTCTGGTGCCAGGTAGAAAGGAATGGAAGAAGCCATGTTATGTCCACTTGGCATGCCATTTGTAGCTGCAGTGTGCTTGGAGGTCTGCACTTTGTAGTTTTTTGAACCCTAACCCTAGGCATAATCCTAACTCCAGGCATAACCCTAAACCTAACTGAAGCAGTAAAAGGCACTTTGGGATGAGTCTGGTGCCAGACAGAAAGGAATTCAAGGAGCCATGTTATAGCCGTCTTTTGTTCCCCTTGGCATGCCATTTGTAGCTGCATTGTGCTGGGAGCTCTGGGCTTTGTAGTTTTCTGAACCCCATCCTTAGGCGTAACCCTAACCTTAGGTGGAACACTGAAAAGAGTCTTGGGCTGAGTCAGATGCGAAGCAAAAAGTATAGAGAAAGCTATTTTGTGGCTGTCTTGTATTCCCTTTGGCAGGTTAGCTGTAGTTGCACAGTCCCTGGAAGTCTGAGCTTTGTGGTTTTCTGAACCCTAACCCTAGGTGGAACCCTAACCCTAGGTGAAGCAGTGAAAGTCACCTTGGGCTGAGGTGGACTGGTGCCAAGTAGAAATGTATGGAAGGAGCCATGTTATGACAGATTTTTGTTCCCCTTGGCATGCCATTTGTAGCTGCAGTGTGCTTGGAGCTCTGGGCTTTGTAGTTTTCTGAACCGTAACCCTAGGCATAATCCTAATCCTAGCTATAACCCTAACCCTGGATGTAACCATAACCCTACGTGCAGCAGTGAAAAGAGCCTTGGAGAAGGCTCCAACTCTCAGCTTTGGGAAAGTCATACTTGCTCCTTTTTGGTCAAACACCCCGTGGGCACATCCACTTTCACGTTTTGGTGTGGATCAAGGGCGTGCTTTTGAAGTGAACCTCCAGATTATCCTCACTTACCACATTGTATTTTACCCATCAGAGGTGAGTACACAGAGTGGATTCGGATAGCGATGTAGCAAAGACAGGTGCCAGGTGTGTATCAGATGGGTTCTAAGTTCTCATGGTGCTTTCAGTTCACAGACCCAGCCTGTAGTGAAACAGAAAAAAAAACTATTGAAAATCATTTAGGGCCTCAACACCATGAAATCCAACACCAGATTGATCCACATTACTTGCTAATATACATGTACACTAGGTGGATGTAGACTAGGGGTAGTCAGCTGTGGGTATGGCTGCTCTGGGGTTATGCCTTCATGGTCTTCCTTGTGGAGTATTTTACTGCACATATTCTAGAATTCAGCCTATATTTAACCCACTTCTTTGATTTTTTGTAGCACATTTCCTTTGAAATGTTAGGGTGGAAAACTCCATCATGCTAGATACTTTCCAATCTATTTCTTATCCCTTGAGAAAATATGCATTTTCAGTAATGTTCTAATTTTAAGATTTTGAATTGTGGGGGAAAAAATTGGAAGTCTGATTTTAAAAATACAATAAAGCAGGTTTGCAATTTAATTCTGAAAATAGCTGCTGTTATTATTAAATGGTGTAAATGCAGACTGAGTGCAATAAACCACACTTCCATTTAGCATTAATAATATTAATGAATGGCATTTAAATTACATGACAGGACTGTAAAAGAAACATTACCAAAGAGGTTTTGCATGTCTGCTGCTGACATAATTTAAATCTGTCATAAAATTGTCTTATATCTGAGAAATATATTCATGCGTCTGAACATAGAGGAAAAACCAGAATAGGAAATACCTTTTTCTTTCAGAGGCTCTCTGTGCAGAAGACAATCCTCCCTCAGAACTTTCCCACTTAAGACACTCTGGGAAAGGGCTGAAGCTCGTGTCTCTCCGCTTGACCTAACCTATCCGGGATGAGCTGCTTAATACTGTGATCACATTTACTCTCGCTCTAGACCAACTTGGGAACTGTTGCGATCAAAATGCTGTATCAGCAGCTCGCATGCAGAGACAGACACAGTTCTTATCATACGCACATCATCAGGAGATTTTCCCATGTAAGGTCTACAGCCTTCCCCTTTTCCTTCAAATACTACTTCTTCGCTGTCTTTCCCCCTCCTTCTCCTCTTCTGCCCTATCCTCCTCTCCGTCTCCGGCTTCACCGCCCCCTGCACCGCGCACTGAGCCGCCGAGCCCGGGGACGCCGCAGCGCTCCCCGCCACCCCCGCACCAACCTGGTCCCGGGACCCACCGCTCCGGCCCCGGGACCCGAGACCACCCCCCCCTCCCCGTCGCAGTGCAGGGCGGGCTCGGGAAGTCGGGGCCCACCCCCGCAGCGACCCCGCTGGGCCGGGACCACCGCCCCGCCCCGTGAGGGCTCGGGGACGCGCCCCCGTTCTCCCGTTCGCCTCTCCCCCGCCGCCGCCCGGCCCCTCGCCCCCGGCCCCATCCGCGGCCCCGCCACTGCGCCGACCGCGGCGGGTCCCGCCCGGGGAGGCGGTGGCGGGGAAGGGGGAGGAGAGGCGGCGGAGTGCGCTGCCTCCCGAAGAATCAAACGCGGAGAGAGAGGAACGTGCGGAGGAAAGGACGGGCCGGGCTAGGGAGGCTCCCGGTCCCGGTCCCGGTCCCGCCCGCCCCGAGCACCCGCGTCGCCTCCGCGCCGGGACCGCGGGTGGAGTCGCTTGGGGCGGCCGCCGCCCGCCGGCCCCGCTCACATGTGCTCCCGGCAGCCGCGGCGGACAGCCTCCACGGCCGGCGTGTCCGTAAGTAGCCCTTCGCTCCCCGGCACCGCGCCTGCCCCCATCCTGGCACTCCTGGAACCCTCGCCGCTCCTGCTCCTTCCAGACACCGGCTCTCGCGCAGTCCCCTGCCCCTCACGGACCCCCTGCACCCCCTTCCTTTCTCGAACCTCTGCCTTCCCTCGCTCCCGGTACGTTGCATCCCCTGTATGACTCCGGATCCCCACGCCTTCAGAACGTCCTTTCCCTTCCCGACCCCTCCCCACCCTGCACGGCCACATCCCCTGCATCCCCGACCCTCTTTGCTTCCTGCGTTCCCGTTCCTCGCTCTGACACCCAGCCTGGCCGCATCCCTTGCCCGTTGCACCGGACCCTCTAGACTCCCTTCCCTGCTCGCATTCCCAGCCCTCTCATCCTCTTGCCTTCCCGAATCCTTCCTCTCCCGGGCCCCCGTCCTTCCCGTATCTCCCTGCCACCCCGGACCGCTCTCCCTTCCCGGCCCCGCAGTTTCCCGGCTCTCCGTCCTCTTGGGCACTCAGATTCCCCTCACTCTCGGCACCTCTGCCTTTCCAGCTGATCCCCTCCCGCATTCTCCTTTCCTTCCCATTCTGCTCGTCTCGGACCCCCCGTTCCCACAACTCCTTCTCCTCCCGCGTCTCCTGCCCCTCTCTGATCCCCTGCTGCTCCCAGGTCCCCTGCACTTCAGCCCGCCCCACCCGGCACCCCACACCCGGCTGGCTCCGCGGGCGCTGCGCCCGCTCGCCCGCAGTTTTTCCCTGGCATCACCCCGGCGAGTTTTGGTTCCCGGCCGCCGCCTTCCCTCGGGGGAAGCCGTATCTCTCCGCCGCCCCCTCCTTCTCCTGGAGGGCGGGGAGCGGGGTTTCGGGGCCGGAGGGGCGAGTCAGCCTCCCGGGAGAGCGCCCAGGCTGTGAGCTGGCAGGCTCCGGGCAGCCAAAGCTGCTGCCCCGCTGAAGCCGCAGGATTTGCAGGGTCCTACCCCTGGGACCCTCCATGTTGTCCCCTTTTTCCAGCCATACCTCCTGCGAGATAGGGAATGATCTCCCCTAAGTGCTGTGACCCACTTTGGCTTAGACTTTTGCTGCCACGCCAAGATCCTTCTCTAGATGATGCTTCTGAAGAAATGGTGCCCCCCCATTCTTCTCTGGCAAGCTTTTATCCCCAGGGGCTTGGCATTTTGCAGGTTGAAAGACATTTCTGTGGATAGGCTGTGGGTAGATAGGCGTACTCTTATTCAGTAGAAGCACAGACCTTTTTAATACTATAGAAGAGACGTTATTTTCTTAGTGTTTTAAAAGTAAACAAAACTTTCGTGTAGTGCACATGGCTAATTTCACTTACAAACTTTCTCTACATTCCCTCCTTGTGCTGAAGTAGTATTCATTTTATTGCCTTTTCATGAATTGGATTCACTGATTGGTGTCTAATAATGCTTAGAAGAAAAAGCCCCTGTAAATAGCTATCAGAATTAATTTGGCAGCAACAGTGAGGAAATGATCATAAATTTACAAATGCAGTTAGAATAATGATCCAACATGAATTTAACGAGAAATAGACCCCCAGCCTCTGGGAACAGCACGCAGATTTCTGTGACAGTCAAACACACTTGGGCACACTGATACTGAGCTGACAGGTTAGAGGTTGTCTGAGAAGGATACAAAGGGGTTATGGCTTCTGTGTTTGAGCTGGGAAGAGGCAAAGAAGAGCTGGGCTGAATGCAAGCAGGAATATTAAGAGATGCCTCTGTGTTTTAATTGTGTTCTCCTTGAGGTTGTGTAGGGGTGAATCCAAAAGATGTGGCAATATCTTTGCTTACTAGAAGCCCACCTGGAGATTGGATTCCTGGCACTTTGGGACATCAAGTGGTAAAAGGCTCCTTTTGCACAGGGATGCAAAGCAACTTAGAGTGCTGGAAAAAATGTCACTTCTTTTGGGAGTGTGTTAATAAGTTTTACTCTTGTGTCACAAGAGTCTGATCTTGAAATGCCTTAGCTGCTGTGGGTGGTTTTGCACTGAAGCTGCAGGAACATCTGTAAAGTATGTTCTGCAGGCATTGCAGGAGGAAGGTCTGGCTAACTAAGGATAAGCAAGACCTCGTCTATTTTTTCTATCGGTATTGGAAAGATCGGGACTTAGAGTGGAGGAAAGTGAGGCAAGTTCACAGGGAGCCCCTGAAGGTGGCTGCAGAGCATTCCTGGATGTGCACAGCAGCCTGTGGCAGCTGGGCTGCCGGCCACAAGAGCTGGTGTACTGAGAGCAATTGTAGGGTCTGCTTGCAAGGGTAGGACAGAAAAGTGACATGTCTTATTCAGAAGTCTTCTAGGAAGGAAAAGCACTCTAGCAGACAAATACTTTTTTCTAATGTCAGTGTTACTGAACTTGTATTTTTTTCCTTTTTTGTGTTTTGTTATTTAATTAGGGACCTTTGACTTCATGATGGGAGGAAATATTCCCCTGGTTGTTAGGATTCAAGCTTCTCCCAGTGTGAGGATTTGTCAAGGCTGAGAGATTCTGGATTATCCATAAAGCTCCTCTAAAATACAGTTACTTTTGTGTCTTCCCATCGTGAGGGGTCTTGGATCAGATACAAAGATGGCCTCCAGCCTCACCTGTGCCGGCGTTGTCTGGGCCTTCCTCTCCTTCCTCTGCGCTGCTGCCTCCTGTGTTGGCTTCTTCATGCCCTACTGGCTCTTGGGGTCTCAGCTGGAGAAGTCTGTTTCCTTCGGCACTTTCCGGAGGTGTTCCTACCCGGTGCGGGATGAGAGCCGCCAGATGACCGTGATGGTGGAGCAGTGTGGCCGCTATGCCTCCTTCCAGGCCATCCCGAGCGCCGAGTGGAGGATCTGCACGGTGGTGACGGGCCTGGGCTGCGGGCTGCTTCTCTTGGTGGCCCTGACTGCGCTCATGGGCTGCTGTGTGTCCGAGCTCATCTCCAGGACTGTGGGCAGGGTGGCAGGAGGCATCCAGTTCCTGGGGGGTAAGTGCTCTTGTGGAGAGAGGATGGGCATGTCCAGGATATCTGTTTGCTCATGTTAAGACTCTCCTGACACTTTGGGAAGAGAAGGGGATGATTCAAACTTTTTCCTAGTGAGGGAGACCACTTGGCTCCCTCAACAACTGAGCTGCTTGTGCGGCTGCCTAAATGTGGCCCAAAGACACAGTGTCCTGTGCTCTCTTGTGCTCAAGTCCCTGTCTGGTCATTTTGTCACCTTTGAGAGCTGCATGGCAAGTTGACTTCTGTGGGCCAGCATCTTCACAGCAGTTTTGTGGGTTGTAGTTTCCAGCAGAGCATAGCTGAGTTGGAGGTACCTGGAGAAGCATGTGGGCTACAGATCCACATGAAGTGTTGTGGTTTGGCAGAGGAGAGGCTGTGTTGTGTGGGAACAACCTCTCTTTTCTCCTTCTTACCCCTATTACTGGCAGAGCTCCCTCCAGCTCTGCTCTCTGCAGCTGCACGAATCTGGCAACAAGCTTTTGGCCCAGGTTTGAAGTGTGGATTGTTTATCCACCCTGGTGGAGGTGGCCCACCATCTCCCAGGAGGAGCCCTGCTGGGCTAGCTGACCCACACTGCCTGCTGATGGTGCCACAGGTTTGTTGTCTCCATGGGCTAGACAGTGTGTGGGAGAATTACCTCCGCTCCTTTTTCTAACTTGTAATTGTGTGGCGTCTTTGTAACTGTAAGATTATTTGAAGGGTATGAGACAATAAATAGGATCCACAGGCATGCTTTTTACAGGGCAGTTTTCCCAGTAAATCATCACCCTCTTGTCATCGGTGACATGTGGATCAGTGGCACTCACTTTTGCCTGATGCAGGCGCTCCACTGCACCCATGTGTTTGCCCCCATAAGGTAATGTGTTTCTCTGAGCTTTGGATGCTGAAGCAGTGCAGGGGCCAGCTTTTCGGGTGCCCTGAAGCATCCAGGCCCAGCCAGGTACCCTGGCTCATTCCCCAAAGGAGTGGACTGTAGAGGAACTCTCGTTTCTCTCCCCTCCAAACAGGCACTTGCCCTGCAAGGGCAGTCTGATTACATGCTGGGACTGCAGCTTCTAAGGAAGCACAAGACAAAAACCCCACTAACTGTCCAGCTTGGTGAGGACAGCTGAGGCTGGGAAAGGGCCCTGTGCCAAGCCTTCAGCCAGATGATACCAATGTAACTCCCTCCTGGCTGCAGAGAGTCCTGTCTCCAACTTTTTGAGTAGTTTCTGCACTTTAGAGCAAGCTGACCCCATCATACCGTTCCCTCAGCTTTGTGACCCACAGGCATTCCTGTGTTTAATCTGTCTGACAATTTGAAAGTGCAGCAGCTGCTGGAGAGTTAACTCTGCTGGGAGCTGTGGTTTCTTGAAACCTGCTCCATTATACAGTTCCAGCCAGGCAGTTGGGGGTGGAGGAGGTTCTCAGTTCAGTGACAATCTGCAAACCCGCTTTGTCTGACTATTTTCACTTGGAGCTGTCACAGGCTTTAACCACCCCCTCTTTCCAACTGCTGTCTCACCTCATCTGGTTTTAATTTGCATTTGGCCCCTGTCTCGTGACCGTGCTCCCCCATGAGCCTGTGGAATAGAGATGGCAAGGAGCTTACAGCTGTTTGCTTACAACCACCCCAGCAAACACAGCAGCTTCAGCAGTGGGAATATGGCCGGGGGATGCAGGAGGAACCCTGCTCCTCGTGACACTGGCGTGAGCTGAAGGTGTGCATCCTTCTCTGAGGCAGGATGGTGACTCCTGGACAAGGAGTGAGAGGCTCCTTCAGACCACACACCATGGTAACCCCTGAAGCTTGTCCAAGCTGACCAGGCAGCATCCTGCCTAGAAGGGCATGAGCATGTAGTGCTTGTTCTCAGTAGGTGGCAATTCAAAGAAATGTGAACCTGTGATATGAAATGAAAATTGACAACAACTTTGCTTACAGTTCAGAAATTAGTTATGCAGCATGTCTGATTTTCCCTTCTTCTGGCTTTTATGGTTGTCTCACATTTCAATCAGCACTGCTGGAAGTGTGTAAGAAAAGACCAAAGTGAGGACCGTCATTTTTTAACCTGCTTAAAACCTAACTGTGGGGCACAAGGGAGAGGCCAGGTGGTGAAAGACAGTAATTTGGATAAATTGAAGGGACATATTAGGGTAAAGACAAGTTTCTTACATCCCTCATCAGATCCTTAGTTGCTATAAATCAGTGTAGGTTAATTGTTTAAATGACATGACTACATTTACTCAGATGTCTAACTTAGGCACTATAATTATTATCTTATTTTATGTCAAGATAGCTGTGAGCTGTTCACCTTATTTACAAACAGGGAATGGCAGCTCTTTGTTCCCTGTAATGCAGTTGTAGGTGTAGCTGTATACCGTGACGTGGGCTTTGAATGTGGCTTGGTGGCAGTGATTGTCATTTTAGTTGGTCTCCACTTAGAGATCTAATGAAATAAAACTTTTATAAATTTTCTTTTTAATTGTGAAGAAGAACTTTCATCTACTTTATATAACGAAAAGCCTAGGAAAATAAGCAGCCACTGAGTGATGCTATTAATTCAGCCTCTGCGTTATGACAGGGAGATGGCTAAATGGTTTCACTTTCTTTTTTTGTCTGAGGAATCTGCACCCATAGCCTGCTGGGGCTCTTGTTCCAGAGGATGAGTGTTGGAATAAATCGTATTTCTCTTGAAGTTAGAAACCAGCATAAAGACAAATTCAGTGTAGCTGGTTTATGGCTTTACTTGTGTTCCTTTTGTTTAGGATCCAAGTAAGTTTCTCAACATGATTTAAAAACATGGACTTGAGGAGGAAGTAAGCCAACAGATAATGGATTATTATGGGAGGCCCAAGAGCAGGGGAGATGTGCAAGCCACTGAAGCTGTGGTGAGCCAAAGCTAAAACTTAGTCCAACACTAGAAGCTTTTTTACTGCTATGAAGATGTGGCAGAGAGGTTTGTTTACCAGAGGTGGTAAGCAAACAGCCTGATCCTTTTCTTCTAGCACTGTGAAAGAGGAATAACTCCAAGTAGGTCAGTTTTTTACACCTGTAAAAAAGTACTGCAGCTTGTGCTAGCTAAATGGTGCCAAGGTTTTATAGCTGGGATTTCCCCAAGTTACATGTGGCAGCTCAAAGGAGTGAATTATTCATGAGTGCTTTTACCATAAATCTGCTCTTCTGATAAAAACTGAATGGCAGAACCTGCAAGAAATTGCAGATCTAGGCAGAGTCAGAATGTCTCTTTGGATATTGCTTGATCCTATGTACTTAGTTTGTATTTGCTATTTCAGATGATCCTGCCTAAGAGTATACATATATTTTAAGGTGACTCTGGGATGAAACATGTCGAGTTTCTGTTCCAGCTAGAAAGACTTCATCATAGACTTTTCCTGCCATTTGCAATTGTGGAAGCCACTTCCTTTCCCATGCATGATTACATGTGGCAGCTCTGTAGCCATTACAGAAATTGCATGAAAAACAACACTTTTAGCTTCTTCTAAGGCAATTTGGTGGTAGGTGACAAGTGTCCAACTCCCCAAGGCCAGTCTTTTCTGCAGTGGACATCAGTGGTCTGCAGTCCACAGCTGGCAAACTGCTGTTACGGTTTCTCAGGAGTCTTCCTGAATATGTCTCTTGGACTGCTTCAAAGAAATGACAACTGAGGTGAGAGTTATGCTGTCTGTAACCTCTTGAGGGCACAGTCATGTAGATGGATACAGTCTTCACTGCTAACATAAAGTGCAGTGTTCCCAGCTGGTTTCCTTTGTATGTTTGGAAGACTGAGACATATATAATGTAGCTAGAAAAGATTGTGAGGATGTAGCTTTGACCATAACTATTGAGGATATGACAGCAGGGAGTGAAGTTTAACAAATCTATGGCAAATTGGAGTCTGTAATTATTGATCTTCTTTTCATTGTGCTGTAGCAAGTCAATTCCACTTAAATGGAGAAGCTAGATATTTGAAGGTAGGTAGCTCAGATATGACATACTAATTTGCTGAATAGGTTCACTCTCTAAGTGCAGAGCAATGATTTTAAGAACATAGTGGTATTTTTAAGAACATAATGAACTTAAAGGTTAGCCAGTTTTATGAGAGGCAGTGGATCAAAAGGCACAAGTACTGCAAGGATGGTCAATTTAAAGAGCATTATGCTGGCAAGGTGAAGCTGTTCATTAGAGTGGTCAGCACACGGGAATGAAATCTTCACTAGCTCAGGACTCCCTTTTTCTGTGTAGAACAGCTAAACCAAGCTCAGAGTATGGATCCGAGGGAATAGAACGTGGAACAATCTGCTAGCTGAGACACCTCTCTGAACCTGACACTATGGCCCTGATTCTAAGTGCCGTGTGAGAAGTGAACCGTTCCCATAATTATGGGGCAGCCATGTGGCTGCCATGTTGACTGTCATCTTTAGTATTCATTGATTGACTCTAATGAAGCACAAGTTTTGCTACTCCCTTTGTTAAATGAGAAAAGTTTTCAGCAGCGTCTACTCCTCCTCTCCTTATTTGTCTGTCTTGTTTCCCTTATGTCTTGTGGAAGTGCTGAAACTCTCAAAACTATGGTCCTTGAAATTGCTGGTTAAAAGATCTGGAGGCCTCTTGGAACAGGGGGTGGTAAAAGGAGCATTTGGTTATTTGAGAAAAAAGGGACACAGTTCCTAACAACTTCTGATTTTGTCTCAGAAAACAAAATGTGGCCATATGAAAAATGCTCTCAGCACTCTGTGAAATTGCTGGAGAATCCTTATTCAACTGTTCTGTGCCAATAGAGGCCATAATATTTTCCATAACCCATAAGGTGCTCAGGACAAGTGTTTGCTGGGTGCAGAGGGCAGAAAAATAAAGACCGATCCCTCAAGATGAGGAGAATGTTGAGTGGGCTGATGTTTTGGTTCTGTGTTGTCTGTGATGAAATCTCATGGAAAGCCTTTGTGATTTTGGGCTAAAGATTTTAAAGAGACAGATCCAAACGAAATCTGCAAGTTGTTTGCAT